CAGATAACATGCATAGAACTAGTTCTATGTATATATGGAGAACTAGCACATTAATGCTGAACATTAATACTTTTTTCATGTGAGCTTTTTCCATTGGTGAGACATGGAAAAATATAAACTTTTGAAAAAGCTGCTGATTCCCTCACTGATATCACACTACTTCTGTACTTAGTTGTTCCTCAGGGACCTTGCAGAGGACTGTTCATCAATCTTAAATCAAGGAGAGCTGCCTGGTGACAGGGCTAAATGTGGGGCATGTATGGTGTTCATGGTACCCAGGAGTTTTTTAGGAGAGTTAGAAGAGGTTCTAGGAGCAGCTTTGATCAAAGCAGCTTCAGGGGTCCCAAGCTACTAAACGTTAAGGGATTGGCTGGTCAGCAAAACGTGTACCTACAGAATTTTGAGGCCATACCCTCTATTCCATTGGGGACAGAAGAATGCAGAAGTATCCTGTGTCAAGAAGCTAACAGAGATTTGTATACAGATTTTATGGTGTAGGGGAACCATTTCCTTTTTTATTGGTTATCTGGAATTTCATTTTATTTTTTGTAACATAAGGAAGATTTTAATGGACATCCACTTTCATAGATTCATAGATTGTAGAGTTGGAAGGGACCACAATGGATCATCGTGTCCGGCCCCCTGCCCCTGGCAGGAAAGAGGACCGAGGTCAGATGACCCTAACCAGATGACTATCTAGCCTCCTCTTGAAGACCTCCAAGCTAGGTGATAACACCACCTCTCTTGGAAGCCCATTCCAGATCCTGGCCACCCTTACTGTGAAAAATTTCTTCCTAATATCTAACCTAAATCCCCTCTCAACTAGTTTACACCCGTTATTCCTAGTCACTCCCTGGGGCGCCCTAGTAAACAGTGCTTCCCCTATTCCCCGTTAACCTCCCCTAATAAATTTATAGGCGGCCACAAGATCTCCCCTCAGCCGTATCTTGTGAAGGCTGAAGAGATTCAGCTCTCTCCACCTCCCCCCCTAGGGTCTATCACGAAGGCCACTAATCATGTGAGTGGCCCTCCTCTGGACCCTCTCGAGATTCCCCGTGTCCCTCTTGAAGTGCAGCGCCCAAAACTGGACACAGTACTCCAACTGCGGCCTGACCAGTGCCGCATAGAGGGGGAGCATCACCTCCTTTGTTCTATTAGTCATACACCTGCTAATGCACAACAAGGTGCGATTGGCCTTATTGATGGCCTTGTTACACTGATGGCTCATGTTCATCTTGGAGTCAAGTTGACACTTGAATTTACAGTACTTTTACAGGGATTATGCATAATATTACAAAACAGAGAAGTTTCTCTTTGAAAGTGGTACTGTTTTGTAGAGCTTTTGCCATCTTGGTAGTGCTACAAACAGTTTGCATGGTGGTAAACTCACTTTTTGTAGTGTTACAAGGGTGTGTTTAGTGCTATAAGGATGTGTCTACATTAGACACTTTATTGCACATTAGAATAATATAATGCACAGTTAAGCATCACCGTCTATATATGTGCAGCAAGTGCTGTTCAGTAGATTAATTTAAAGTGCCTTTTGCTAGTATCCACAGATACGGGTGCTTTAAACCAATGGTACTTTAAACTGATTGCACTTTAAACCAATGTGCCAAAATGCACGTGTAGATGCTGACTGGGAGCAAATTGCTCCTGGTTTGCCTAGGCATCGGGGGGCCACAGTAGGCTGGGGGGAAGCTGTCCTAGCTCAGGAGTGTGAGAAGAGAGATCGGGGGGAGATTAGGGCTCGCCCTGGGGGCAGGGAGAGATGTCTCTGTTCAGCGGGTAGTTCTCTGCCCACCCTATGCAGTTTGGGGCCAGCCCTGATCTGTATGGGGCAGGGGAGAGCGGCCTTAGCTCTCTCAAGCTGTCTTGGATTGCAAGGATCTGCTGCTGAGCTGAGACAGATCCCCCTGCTCCCGGGGACTCAGCGCCAGCTCTGATCTTCCTGTGGCTGGCAGGGAGCGCCCACCCAGCTGGGACACCTTCCTCCCCTCCCACCTCATGCAGATTGGGGCTGACACCTGGGGGAGCCTGGAGCTGACACCACGGGGGCAGAGCAGGGGAGGAGCAGCCCTGGACTGGGCTGTTCCTCAAGTGCAGTTTGTTCCCAAAGCTGGTGCACGTGTAGACATGCACCTGGGACCACTTTAATGAGCTTGAATTTTCTGCGAACAAAATTCAAGTGCATTAATTGAATGTGTAGACATGCCCTAAACGTAACAATTGTCCATGGCAACAAACTTCAGGCAGCTCCCAGAACTTTTTAATGACATATTCTAGTGGTATTTTTCAGGTAATTGAGTCATGTGGTATAGCAGTATAGAATCTTTCGGAGCTTCAGCACATGTGTTAGACCTTTACATTTACTTCTTCAGAGTCTGTGGAGCTCTTCCTTTATATTTTCTTCTGTAAGGCTAGTTCTTTATCAAATATTGTAGATCCAGCGTAGAGTCATATGTATCCAACCATGCTTTCAAAGTGGACAGCAAATAGCAACAAATGTTAATGAGGCCTTATATAGAGGCAGAGAAAAAGCTAATTTATTATCAACTCATAATGCATTAAGTCCTGTGGTGTTTACAAGGAAATGTGATGGGGATTGAGGAATAAAAAGATGTTTCACTGAGGCTCCTCTTCTTTACTTTTGTTGTTGTTGTTGCTATTTTAGTCTACTTTTAGAATAAGAAGAGGTGTTTCAATTTGAAATAATGAAGCTGCCTAACCAAAAAATTAAAGTGGCCAAGAAAGGCCCTGCATTTTTTAAAACATAGGGTAGGGCAAAAGGTTTTAGTTTGAAAGCCCATGCCTATCCCATATCATCTGATAAGTAGGAAGAAGGGATGTCCAACATGAGGAGTGGAGTGGGCAAGTAAGGAAACAAATCTTTTTTAGTGTTCATCCCATTAGTTGTCCAGACTAATAATTTTATTTGGAAAGGCAGAACAAAATTGAAGTGGACTGTCATCTCCTGTATTGTTACTGTGCTGATGGAGTCAGTCCCCAGGAGCATGGAGGAGAGTGTCCCGAGTACTAAATAGGCTAATGGTGAACAGGGGTGTGTGTGGTGGTAGCAGCCCTGACAGAGAAGCAAATTTAACCCTCCTTCCCCCAAATATAAATGTTAGCACCCATGTTTACATTAGCTGTGATGAAATTCTAAGGTTCATCAACCTTCTTGTTTCAAAATATGTTTGATTGCTTGTTAGTGTAAATTCCATAAAGAAATTCCTCCCCTTTCTGCTGCCTCTTATGTATTATTTAACATTTAGATGCAGAAATATGTTTTTTTCCGCAAGGATCTTGTGTTGGTTGTTCAACCATGTCAAAGGCAAGATCTGCTCTGGTATAGCAATTTCTGTGTTCCCATGGCATATACATTTGGTTTATGCTATACTGTGGTTTCTCTTCAGATCGCATAAATATTTCACCTTTTACATTTGGGTCTCTGCTTCCATTGGGCAGTGCTGCATCCAATGGTAAATATATTTTTATTCCAATTATGATACTACTGGATTTTTAGATCCACATGTGCACAACTGAAAGTCATAGAAAAGCTTTAACTTGAATTAAACAAAAAGGAACAAAAATTGTTGTCTTTAGTTTTTTACTTTCCTCATCTTTAAGATTTCTGTACATGTTTTATTTTGTAAGTAATATTTTCTGGTAGTACTTCCTTCCTGCTGTAGAGCCATGGAACAGAGTGCTCTTAACAGAGATACCATGTCTATATATATGTCTAGGGAAGGTATATGACTTTATACAGAGTGCTCTTAACGAGATACCATGTCTATATATATGTCTAGGGAAGGTATATGACTTTATTGATGTAGGAGTGAAAAAGAGTTTAGTGTAAGCTATATTAACATCAAATTGGATTCTCCCCTTGATGTAACTTCTGCAGGGTTCTTTCTGTCAGTTGCCGTATGTTTCATTTATTCTATTACACGAAGGCATATACGCAAAGAACAGGAGCACAGGAGTTGTACTAATTCAAGTCAGCCCATTAGTTATCAGTGGAGCATTTTGCCTCCAGTAGTGGCCAATGGTTAATGCTTTAAAGCAGTGGTTTTCAAACTTTATGAGCTGAGCCCTGCTTTGAGTTACAATTTTTTTCGTGACTCCCACCCCCCTCACCCCAGAGGAGCAGCACAGCCAGGCATAGGGCGCCCTTTCTAGCAGCTGCTACAGCTCAGCTCTGCTTGGCTTGGCTTGTTGGGGCAGGCTTCACCCACTGTGGCTCCAGTGCCTCCTGCCTTGGCCCTGCTGTAGCTCTAGGCTGCACGCCTACTGCACCAGCCTCCTGGAGGCGCAGCAGCCTGCCAACAGAGCCTGCTCAGGCTCCCTGCCCCTGTGTTCCCCCCACTCCCCCACGGCTGCAGTGGCACCGGCTCCTTGCAAACTTCTTCTCCCCCACCCCCCCAGCGTTCCTTCTCACCTCGTACCCCACAGGTTGAAAACTGCTGCTTTAAAGGAAGGAACAGGAAAAACAGGAATGATCATACCAGACCACTGCAGGGGGCCGGTTAGTCCAGTTTCTGACGTTTCTGCTTTAGAATGTATAAAACCTGCTATAATGTTGAAAATGTGGGAGAATGGGAGGATATACCTTTCTCACTTCTGCAGGTATGTTTAGACTCTGACAAGTGTCTGGAGAACACATCCTCGTCCAGTTTTGTATCACCTTTCTTTGAGATTCTGATTTGCTCCCAAAATAATAATTTGCTCCTTATTATAATGTTTGGGGTTTTCCTTTTCTTCTCTTCCTGGTTACTATCCAGTGGCTCTCCCATTAATATTGGTTTTCACACACTGTATGAAATGACATGTATGCAGTTGCATATATGTTTGCACATTAATGGCTTTATGTACAAAGGCAGGGAAATTATCTTTAGTATTAAAACTAATACTTAATTTTTTGTTTAAAAAAAGCCTCCTAGGGATTGTGAGATACTTTAAAAACAAATTAATAAAACATCTCTTTGATTTCTTTATAGATTCTGGACAATCAGGAAGTCCAAGCCACAATGATCCTGCCAAGAATCCACCAGGTAAATATGAGTTCCAGGACATGTGCAATCTAACATTGTTTGAGAACAAAGCTACTACTGTTAATAGTTAAAGACAGCATAAACGGTCAGCAACCTATTTTGCACTGGTAAGTACATATAATCAGGACAAGTTTTGGCTATATTTGCTCTTCTGGACTAGCAAATGCCTCAATTGCAGTTTCATCAGGATTCCTTAAAAAATCACTGGATTTTTTTTCTTTCTGTTGTTACTTAAAAATTAATAAATGGGGGATAGGCAGAGGACAGTAGGCATCATCCTGAATTGCATTTCTCTGATAAAGGGTTTCACATACTTCAGTTATTTTACAAAGGACAATGAAATTTTTTATCTTTCAGTTGTGACCAAGAGTATAAGGTTGTTCTGCCCTGTAATTTTTCTTTATGCTCACTTTGTTAAATGTATACATATTCACTTTTATAAAAATTGTCAACTCCTCCATTGTTTTAAAGGTCCATTAAAATAAAGAAGCAAGAGAGAATCAAAATCAAATTTTATGTTCCACCTTGTTTAGACCAAGCACTCTTTATATTTGTATCTTGTCATGTAGTCATTCATATAACCAGCTAGTACAGCTCTACTAATATCTTGTTGATTTGTTTTAAATCTGAAAACTTGCTGGTGAATTTAAGTTGATGTAATTTTTCACAGGCTAAGATGAACAAGTTATATTAGGGGCTATTTTATATTACCATTTTTCCTTAGTGGGTTATGAGTGAGTAACTCTGCAAGTAAAATGTGTCATATCCTCCCATTTTAGCACTTAAAAAGGGTCTCTATCTGCACTGAATTTAAGGCTAACTCCATCTAATTATTTCTCTAATAAATAAGTGAACCATACCATCAAACTAACCAAGAGTTTATTGGACAAGGCTGATCTGTTAATCTGCAGAGATATTTCCTGTTCAAAGATTAGGAGAAACAATCTACATTGCAATCATAAAATGATTTACTACCCACTGTAATTAAAAATATTTTTCAAGCATGTCACAATATGCCCCATTGTAGATTTGGTATTTGTGAATATGCAAAAGAGGAGAAACCCCGTTGACTTGTCAAATAATGTGAAAAATCATATTGTTATATAACCTACATGGTTACAAGCAGGGTGTAAATACTTTTTAAAGATATGAAGATGAGTAATTCTATGGCATGTCTTTTGGGGACACTATTTTTGGTCTGATTTTTCTTCCTGAAGATATTGTTATTTTACATTAAAGAAACCTCATTATAGTTTTCCTCCAAATTTGTGGATTAGCCGACTTGTTTTAAATTTTTTTTAGTTGTGATATGATGGAAATTATATCATGTAGTTCTTTTAAAAATGCACAGGCAACAAGAAGAAAACAACTTCAAAATGCAACAGCCTAGAAAGTTCTTCCAAATCCTCCATTTTGCTTTCCTAGAAGATAGTTAAGCTTTTGCCACAACTGAAATGTTGGGCCTTACTATAACCTTTTAGTTTAGTCGCTATTAAAATGTTAATGAGCCATTTTGAAGGTTCCAGAATCAATCCAAATATAAGCATGGTATCTGGTAAAGTTTGCAAGATCGAACCTGAGCCAGATCCTGTGTCTGTGCAGGACCCAGTGTAAGTTCTGCCCCTTAATGTTCTATTTTTGTTTTTTTCAAATGCCATTAAATAAATTGGGAATGGAGTTGGCTCTTGTTTTCATGTTGTAGGAGATACAGATCTGCATTCTTTTAGCATTCAGGAATAAATCCATCACTAAGCCTTTTTACAATCCGTGGTGAACTTCCTTTTCGAAGCAGCAAGAGGAAGCAGCCTTGTTGTCACATTCAGAAGAAGTATAGGGCAGGAGGAAGACAAGTGCTGTAGGTTACCCAATTTCTGCCCCAGTTTGGGGCAAAATTAGGTACCCTTTGACACTTGATCTATGGAATCACAGCTGTCCAGGAAGTAAAAAAGCAAGGAGGGAAATCTGTGGTTGGTTTCACTGTGAAACTGCTTGATTGAAATTTGATCATAACACTTTCTTCCTGCTGTAGAGCCATGGTTGGCATAATTGTTCTTTTTATCTGCTGCCAGGAAAGGACAGAAAATGGAAGCAATGTCTTGCCTCACTCAAAACCCTTCCTCTGACTAGGTTGAGGTATTATTTTCCATTTGTTAATACTTGAACCTTTGGCATCTCATAATTTTCCCAAGTGGTCTTAGGTAGAAGTTAAAAAAGGAGAGACAAAAGTATTGAGAGGAGTAGGACTCTGCAAGATAGAGAGTTATAAGGATGTGCAAAGTAACAGGAATACAGTGAAATAACTTTGGGATTTCCCTGTCAAGAATGACTAGTATTCTTTTCTGTCTTATTAACCTCATATGTTATCAGCACCTTGTAGTCACTGTTGTAAAGGCATAAGCATATTAGTTTAGAGGCTTGTTTTCTGTCCAAGCAGGTCAACCAGCAGTGCCAGAAGGCCCATTCCTATGTCATGTTTGATCTGATGCCTAGGTATTAAGGAGCCAGGACATTGGCAAGGGATAGGTGCTGCTAACATTTGGATGCTACTGCTTTCTTAATGACTCTGCCAAGGAAAAGGAGGTTGGAAAATGAGTGGTAGCTGGCGAGGTTGTTGGTGTTAAGAGTGGTTATTTCTAGGTTTGGCTAGACTGCTGCATTCTTTGGGGTGTCTGGTAATTTGCCTTCTTAACCAAGGCGGGAGTGCAACACCACATGCCAAACAAAAGAATATTAAGTGCACTTGCTTGAATTCCTAAAAATACACTATATGTTTTGATAGTATAAAACAGGGTCAAGATTGTGTAGATTGCAGTGGGAGTGGCATATCGTTTTTGTAGCAGGATCCAGGGGTATCCACTTCCAAATTTTATTTTTTCAGTGCCTTTCACCTGATATACTGCAGAAGCACTAGACTTGCTTTTCTCCTTGTGAGCCTAACTTTAAAGGTCACATCTCTGTAGGGACACTGTTGTAGCCTAAAGCCCGCTGTAGTCTGCAGCATTATTAAAACCACTGGCCATGCTCTTTTTCTATCTCTGTATTGGATCTGCAGCCTCTTACAACCTTGGAAAAGTGACCCAAACACTAACCAGTGGTAGAGTATATACTATCGCAATACCTCAAAAGACAGGGGAGGGAGAAGGTATGTATTACGGAGAATGGACATGATTAATCATTAAGTTTTCGTTAAGAATTTTTTAAAGGGAGTAAAACTTTGAATACAGTTATGACAGTTTACAGACTGTTGGTATAAAGACTAACCATGACAATTCCCCTGTTTAATTACAATATCCAGTCTGGCTAACTGTGTAGTAAAGACTTCTCTGGCTTTTTTGTTTCTGTATTACTTCTCTGGCTTCTTTGTTTCTTTATTACTTTCTGGTGCCTGAGGTAAATTGTTAATTTTTTACTTGGCTTTTTTTAACGTCTGCAGTGTGCCAAAAGTAATCATTTGAATACTGTTATCACTATTATTATATGTCTAATTTTTGCTATGGTGTTCAGAGATATGAGTTGTTTTAAAAATGTTAAATTAAAAGAAATAAAAAAATAGCTAGCAGTATTGATATAGTAAAATAACAAAATAATGTATTCCTTTCTTCTAAATTCTGAGACATATTGAAGTGTGATCAAACGTAGAATCATATATACATTTTCGGGAGTCAATTGATATGGAAGCTATAGGGAAAACTAGGACAAGCTGGCAATGGGTGACACTTTCTAGGTGTATTGGTACTTGTTGGGTAAATCTTTGGGTAGGGGTGGGTTGCAGATAGTTCCATGTTTCAGAACTGTTCTTGTTCAGCATTGAGATAAAACCATGACCTTTTAAAAAACAAGAAAGGGAGGGGGGGAGGGAAGAGGGAGAGTAGTCACTAAGGAAGTGAAAGACCCAAGTTTAAGTCCTTACTCCATTTTGGGCAGAAAAAGTGCTAGAGTTGGATCTCCTACATCATAGATGGGAATTCCCTCACTACTGAGATATAGTCATTTCCTATTTCTTTGTATGAATCCTGTGCCACTTCATATGAGCATTTAAATATTAACTAGGCTGGAGAAAAAAAGACTGACATTATTAGGCTGGTAATTTGGGCATTCATCCAAATCAAAGACAGACCCAGGGTCAAGTTCTTGTGTCAGTGGATATTTAGGAATGCAAACTGGAATGGTTTTACTAGGAAAACTTGAGAGACACCTATCCCAGAATAGCCCACAGCTTGGCTGCCATGATGCTTACTCAGGAGACCCAGATTCAAGCTCCTGATCTGCAGAGGTGTAACAACATTGCTGGGTGCCCAGGGCACTGCCACACACAGGGGCAGTGGTGATTTCTAATTGCTGCCATCATCAACGCAATCATGTGACTACAGCATCAGACATTTTCTTCTGTTCCCCCCCCCACTCTGCCATCCCTTCCAAGGCAGCTGCCGCAATCACCCTGTCATAATTATACCTGATTTGAATCAGGCAGGTTAGGAGGGTAGTTGATTTCTCTAGCCACTGGGCTCTGTGCTGTTCTGAAGCGGCTCTCATTTTTACCAGAACTTATATCCTGGGTCTGAGAATTTTTTCCTAATGAACGTTTCACCAAATCAGCATCTTTTGAGGAGGGAAAAAAAGATTGTTTATAAAGAAGTTTCCAATCAGCTATACTTCAGCTTGTGCAAATATCCTTTCTGGCTGTACAGCACTGGAGGTTTTCTGAGTACTTTTGTGGATTTGGCATCCCTGGGGAATATGTTCCCTCAGATTGGACCCTAGACATTTTCAAGTAATTCTCCAATACTAGCCTTTGGGAAAAAAGCAACTGGTCATTTCATTGTTTAGACATCGACTTTCAAAATTAATCTTTAAACAGTAGCAGGTGGTCTCAACCTTTATGCTCTTTTGAAAATGTAATAAGTGAATTTCCTTGAGTTCTGTGTGACTTGGAGCACAGATGGTTTCATTATTTTATTGTATTGCAAGTTACCCTCTTGTGGATGGAGAATTAACCCTCT